AGGTTACCAGCATCATCAACTTCAATATTATACACCGATATATGAATTATCCTATTCTCTTGTGCATTCAAGAATTAATATTTTTTAAAGAAAGTATTAAGCTGAACCAAATATGATCACAAGCATTTTCCATGATCAGTTAAAGAACTGGTGTCATATCTTTGAAACATAAATATTAAAGAAAATATTAAGCTGAACCAAATATTAAACATATACCTCAAGGTTCCGACAACAATATCTCTTTTACACTGTAACATATAAATTAACATACAATTAGTAAATCATACGAAGTTTAATTTATGCAAGGTAATTGTCTAATTTATGCAAGGTAATTGGCTAATTGCACTAAAAGTAGACTCTGATGCCACTGTGGAGATAGAAACTACAAGGATATCAACCATCATTCTTGACAAGATTTGATACTTCAATTGATTGACTTTCCACCAATCCAAAGCACGAAAATTTTGATATTTATTTTTCCTTGCATATATGTGCATGCTCATCCAAGTACAATTGCAACTCTGATTTAGAAGTAGGCACATTTTCTGCACCTTTCACAAAATCAAGAACACCGCTCCATGAACTCCTAGTAGATAGTGAGTTGCTCGTATAATTAGATGCCTCTGAAGAAGCTTGTTCATCGTTACTAGCATTATGTAAAGCAACATACTCATCATATAGCTCCAAGGCATCTTTTACTTTTTCTATATTTTTCAAAGTATCTACTTCTAAATATATATTTGGATAATAACATTGCACCCTATGTATTTTCAATTTAGGATCCATAATAGAAGCTATTGCCATCAGTAAACTACATTCCCCCCAAAAAAAATTTCAAATTTAACTTGCATTTTACTAGCCAATTGTTGAATGCAAAAATTATCATCAAGTAGTGACTTCTTTGTAACTTCTTTACTCTTATAGACTTCAACAAGATATAAATTAGAAGTAGGATATTTACTATCGAAAATTAGATTGCTTACCGAATTAAAGATAGCCAATAACTTACAAATCTTCTCTAATTTATCACATTCTTCAAGTTCCGGCATGCAATCATAACTAGACTTCCTTTCCTTCTACATTGAGAATGCATGTTTAAAGTTCATGGTAGTCATCAACATCACATTATGTTAATTTTCAACGAGTAGGCACATTAAGAATTAATTTTTTCTCTCTTAATTGCAACTGTCAAACATAAACATAAACAAATTATTAGTGCATCAATATAAAAATTATGAAATAACACTTATAATAAATTTTAAATTTTGCATGTCTATTGAGCAGCAGTCAAAAATATTCTAAGCCTTACTTCACTATGCCTTACTTCACTATGAGCGATAATTGTTAGTGCAGTTACACTTATCCTGTCTTGGATGACAAGATTAAGAATTTAAGCACAACATTTCACTTGAAACAACTTGCCATCAAAAACCAATTTTCTAGTTCTTGAAAAGTTGGTTTTCAAGTTTCTTAAACAAGCATCATTGTAGGATGCATTATCCACTTATATAGTAAACACTTTATTTTCAATTCCCTAATCTTTGAAATATTTATGCATAGCATCAGCAATATCAATACCACGACGAGGAGGCAACACATGTACAAAAGTAAGGACCGCCTTTTGTAGGTCCTGGTTGTTATCAACAAAATTCCCAGTAATGACCATACATTCAATTTTTTTGGTTTTTAAACTTCCAAAGATCGGTTGTTAGACTTATTCTATCCATGTTTTTAAGTTGTTGCTTGAACTTATTCTTCTTGCTATCAAAGGTCCTCATGCAATCATCTTTTAATGTTTTTCATGCAATCTTATCAAATTGAGGTTGTATAGTCTTCATTGCAAATACAAACCGCTCCTCCTCAATTATTGTAAATGGATGTTCATGCATCATGACCCAATGAGCTAATACCTCTCTAACTTTCAACTGATTATACTTGCCGGTAGTAGTAACATAATTGAATGCTTGATAGTAGAACCTTCTCGTTGAAAGTTAAGAGTTTTTTTGTCTTCGGTTATTCAACTTCTTAGGAAAGCAACTATTTAAATGTGCTTTTAGGTAGGATGTTGTTTCATTTGAATTATTAGAAAAGTCATACTTGCAATGGTTACATTTCCACCTTTTTTCTTTAATAGGACGAATGAATTTGATAAAGTTATCTCATATCTCAGAAGTATTTTTCCTTTTTCCTTTTGGTTGAATAGGATTTGTGTTCACCTCAACTTCCGTATTACTATTAGAGTGGGACTATGACTTGAGGAGCAATAACAGCAGTAGGATCAGGAGAAAATGATATTGATGTAGGTTGGGAGTCAGATTGTTGATTCACGATGTGAGATGACATTATGTAACAATAAAGATTACCAAAAGTCTATTATTTGGATTCATATATATATATATATATAAACTTTGAAAATCAAGTTAAAAAGACCAAATTTAAGATATAAATCATTATAGTTCAGTGTTCACCTTTGATAATTAAATGAAATTGACTGAAATTACTTATCCACAAGGGATTAGATCAGATATTTCTAAAAATTTGTCTATAAAATGTCATTAAAAAGTTATCTTTAGAAACTAATTTAATTAAAATATTATGATTTTAGGCCTCAACTTACATTTTGACGAAGGGGTCATAGGTTAGGGAGGTAGAGGTGATGTCGGGGTAGTTTTGTCTAGTTTGAGGAGGTAGCGATTGATGATGATGCCAATGGTGAAGTCGAGGGGACTGAAGTGCTAATGAAATGCTCTATTTGGAGATGAAGAGAGTCGAAACATGAGGAAGGAAGAAACCATCGAGTGGGAAGAAACTGTCAAAACTCGAGGCCAAGGGGGAAAATGAATGAGCGCCGAGGGAGGTTGTAAGAGAGCATGAGGGTTCCACTAGTGAGGGGAAGAGAGTGGAGCTAAAGAGAGACGTGAGTGTTCTCTCGGCGAGGGGGAAGAGAATGGAGCTATAGAGAGAGCATGACCAATTCGCCAGAGAGGAGGAAGAGAGAGGGGGTTGAGAGAGAGAGAGAGAGAGACAGATAGAGGGGAGAGAGAGGGGGGGGAGAGAGAGAGAGACAGAGAGAGAGAGAGATCTCAGATATGTCTGGAGGTAGAAATGAAGAGAAGCCCTATCCCTAGAGAGAGAGATCTCAGATATGTCTGGAGGCAGAAAACAAAAAGAAGTCATATCCCTAGATTCCATCAACTTAAGTATTTATATGGGGGTAATAATTGTGAATAAAAATTTAGATAGATAATAGTTGCAATAAGTTCAATTAACAGGACTAAAATATAAAAGTTATACCTTTGGTTAAATTCTATTCATTTATAAGCTGAATGCAAAAAGTTATTTGTTTAGTACTAAAGAACGATCGAATTGAACTTAACTGAGTATCTGGAGGGAATAATAAACAAACTGTTTATTAATTATTCGGTTCATTTCTGCCCCTAGCGGTAATAACTATAATTCATATATTACTTACTATTGTAAGACAAGGATAAAACATGAGTATATGTTGCACCTTCAGCCTTGCACATTGCGAGCCTCATCGGGATGCAGTTTTGGGTTTTTTGATCAAGCTAAACAGGTCACTACAAGAATTTGGCATCTAAACAGTGTACTTTGGGTATTTCACTTCCTTGTGTTAGTACTATTAACGCAATAGCCAACCTCAAGCTCAAATTGGCATTAAAAGTAGTCATATAGTGGATCAAATCTCAACTACAATATTAATGAGGCAAATTTAAAAGGACGGAACGATTTGAAGGGTGAGAAACTAAACCAGAAAAAATTTCAAATCTTAAAAGTTTGCCTTGTAGGCCTACTCAAAAGAGAAATTTTGTCTAACGCAATAGAGTTCAAAATTTGAAGGGTGAAAAACTACCACATATTTGCTCTAACGCAACGGTTCAAAACCGTTGCGTTAGCCATGGAACCGTCGCCCTTGAGCAAGTGCGACGGTTCTCAAACCGCCTCATATACTGCCGTTGCCCTACCTCTACCGTAACGGTTTTGAACTCTATTGCGACGGTTTTTTGAACCGTTGCCCCTGCATCTAACGCAACGGTTTTAAAAGACAAGCAGTTACAGTAACGGTTCTCATAGAGCTACGACGACAGTTGGAGCTATTGCAACAGTTTTCAAAGATCTAACGCAACGGTTTTAGTAGGCTATAGCTATGGTTTTGATAGAGCTACGGTGACAGTTGGAGCTATTGCAACAGTTTTAAAAAACTTAACGCAACGGTTTTAGTAGGCTATAGCTATGGTTTTGATAGAGCTACGATGACAGTTGGAGCTATTGCAATAGTTTTAAAAAACCTAACGCAACGGTTTTAGTAGGCTATAGCTATGGTTTTGATAGAGCTACGGCAACAGTTAGAGCTATGACCTAACGCAACGGTTTTAGTAGGCTATAGCTATGGTTTTGATAGAGCTACGGCAACAGTTAGAGCTATTGCAACAGTTTTAAAAGACCTAACGCAACAGCTATGGTTTTGATAGAGCTACGGCAACAGTTAGAGCTATTGCAACAGTTTTAAAAGACCTAACGCAACAGTTTAGATTGAGTTATCGCAACAGTTTGGATAGAGCTATCGCAGCGGTTTTGATCGAGCTATTGCAACAGTTTTAATCGAGCTATTGCAACAGCTTAATCGGACCTGTTCTTGGTTTCCTACGTCAAAATAATATAGTATTCAATTACCTGGACAATCTTTTTAAGAACATGGCCAAATCAAATTTTAATACACAATATAAAAGTGATTATGTTGAACATAATCAACCATAATGATAAGTGCCAACAAACATCAGTATAGTATAAAAACTACAAAGTATTAAATCCACACTACCAACATTTCAACTCAGAAAATATCGTACCGAACTAACATTCAAACAATGTACATCAACATTTGATTACAAAACATGAAACTTCTCAGTCAAAGACTATATTCTCTATTTGTTTCCAAAAACTTGTTCCCCAATATCAAATACTCACTAGGAACTTGTCAATATCAATCTCAATCTTGGCTTTCATCATTTCTGTACCTGTGTAAATTTTCATGAATCAGCATAATCTTGGCTTACATTTGAAAAAAAAAAGAAAAATGCTAGAATATAAGGGGAAGAAAATCATCACAGATATTTCATTCCACTACTGGTTTTAAATCAGTCTAATCATATACAACATCAATATATTTATGCACTGATATATTATGCACCGCACGCTGCAATATATTTATGCGCTGCAATATATTATGCAGGAATCACTGATATATTATTACTGTAGCAAAATGAGCATGAAACCGCATCGGACGCAGAAGAGCACAAACCTTCCTAACATCCAGTAATCTGTTTGTGAGTCAAGTCGACAAATTCAGTGAGCGACGAAATGCTAATGATTTCTTTAGGAATGGTACCTGTAATCTGATTGTATGAAAGGTTAAGCAGTCGCAGAGCCTGACAATTTCCAAGTATGGGAGGAATACTTCCTTCCAAGGCATTCTCTCCTATAAGAAGTTTATTCGGTTGAGTCAAGTTACCAAGAGATGATGGAATAGTACCTGACAACTTGTTTCCAGATAAATACACTTCTTGTAGACTCTGAATTTGGCCAATACTTGTGGGAATACTACCACTTAAAAAAATTTCTTCCATACCCCATAGTTTAACCCCATAGTTTAGTTTGATCCAAGGAGAAATTGGCATGAGTGGCATTCCCTAGTGTAAATCAAATTCTACAATAGGGTGCTTGATCACCATAGTAAATGTATCGTACGTTCGATATTATTTTCATACTACTATTAGAATGACGAAATAGATCCCTCGCCTTATTAGAAAATCGTTCAGCTCCACATATTAGGACAAATAGCAACACAACTCCAAATCTCTACATCAAACATCGAGAAATGTTTAGATGTACTGGCAATCAAAACTTTATTGGGCAGAAAAGGCAACACATAGGCCAATATGTCATCATTCAGTTAGCAATTCTAGCGATCTCTCAACTTTTTCATTGCAAAAATTATTTCAAGACTGCTTCATATTATTATATAAAGTTAGATTATAGACTACTAACAAACATAATCATTCTGCAGGTAGAATGTCTCTCTCTAGCGTTGTCAGCTGGGAGCTGATTGCGTTCTGGCAGTATCTGTCATCAATCTAAGAAGTTGAGCTTATTGAGAAGCAGCCAACCAAAACACAGATTTAATCAACCTATAGTTTCTTTTCAAGTTTTAAATTTCATGATGCAAGCCATATAAAAAATATATATTGAACACATTATAATAAAAATGATGTTCCAACACAACTACATGATGAAATCCTCTTCATATCAACTCTAAACTCTACATGAAAATGATCTAACTACAACTAGATTAAACAATACACTAGTCCATAGAAAATAGTAACATCAGTTATAACAGCTATATATTGCAGCAGCAGCCATGGTATCAAGGCATTTAGTTTCAGTTATAACAGCTTTTCTACAAACCATTCATGCACAAGTCAAGTAATATTAGCATGTCTGAAAGTGTAGGGTAGATAACAAGTAGATTACAGAGAAACTTCGAACTATGAGGATTTGATGTTAACTTGCCGCTCAATAAAAATAGTCAAAAGTATAGAACGTTACCTCTATATTTTCATGCAACGATTTAATAACCTGAAAAAGGGAGCACGGACACAACATGGCTCAGCAGAAACAATATGATTTTGTTTCCAATAGAAAAAAGGTCGCTACCTCTAAGTTTCTAATAAAGCCTAGAGCTCATAATATAGATATTGGAAATGTACAAAAGTTACCTGAATAATCATCCGATATAGCCTTTCTCTCTCCGCCGGAGTAAAAGTAGAAAAAGCTTTGTCAACATCCTACAAGTTCATATTTGCCAAATTACACCATGCGACGTTATTCTTTCTGACTACTGATTATACATTTTGAATTCAATTAATCCCGTAAAAGTTTGTTAAAATTTATTTGTTACTGGCAGAATAAAAACGTACATTCCCTTTCCTCAGTTTATGATACAAAATTCCGCAATTTGATTAAAAGGCACAAATTGAGAAGGAACGAGCATTTAAAAAAAAGTAAAAATTGCAACTTTCTCACAATATATCAACGATGATTAACCAAAAAAACACAGGTTTCATTTCAAACGTCAGAGAGATGAAAAGGGATTTGAGCGCCAGAGTGAGATTACCTCTGAAACCCTATTCTCTCTGGATTTGGAGGCTTTAGATTCAATGCATTTCTTTTCTTTATTCAAAATTTTTAGCATTTTCCCTTATTTTCTACCCAAGCACCAAGCAAATTGGCAAATTTGACTACAATTGACATCAATTGAATTATAATACAGGAATTCTAGAGAAATAGATCAAAAACTAGAACCAATCTAGAAATTCAGATATAACTGGTGAAAAAAGCCCCTGCAATCTAGCATAATTTTTTCTGAAAATCAATCGATCCACGCAGAAATTTCTAAAAACATACTTAAATAATCACGAACTTACTTGAGATTGGATGAAGATCGACGTTGAGAGGATCGCTAGGGCTTCCCTTGTATCAAATTGACCTTGCTCGTGGACTCGAAGAAGAAATCTAGGGTTTTTGAAATCGAAATCCAGGTGAAGAGAGCGGAGATGAGATTCAGTGATGAGATCGATGATTATAAGTTGATCTTGGCCACAGCGATTTTAGGGAGCGAAAATTTTGGCCATGGTGATTTTTGGGAGTGGAAAATTTTATGGATTTCGTTAAGCGGTCAGGGCCAAAAGTCTTCGACAGTTGAGAGAGATATTTCGTTAAGTGGTTAGGGTCGTGGGCTTTAAAAACTTTTAAGCTCTAAAAGCCAAGGAACAATTATTAGGTCAAGGGATAATTATTAGGCCTATAGCAACGTTTTTTATAAATTGTTGCATTATGCACTATAAACCGTTGCGATAGATATCAAACGTAACAGTTAAAACCGTTGCACCTTAACCGCTGTAATAGATCAATTATGTGGTAGATGTTGAGCGGTCAATTGCACGTAGCAAATGAATCATGCAGTTGTCAGCAGTGAACCTTGGAATCATTTGGAAATAAAACATTAAAGATTCTTTCAATACAGCTCCACCCGTACTGCTGCAAATGCCGAGTCACGAACTCATATATGACTAATCAGATGATAATTCTAATTATATTAGACACTCCATACAATTCTTGTGCTGCTAAACATAAAGGTGGAGATCTTTTCATTTAGATCATCATCAAGTTGACGAGTCACGAAGAGCCTCACCATCTTTGAGTATAGTAGTTTGAAGCTAGTGTAGAAAGTGTAGACTAGTTATCACTATTCTAAATCAGTAGAGTAGTGATTACTAGTCTATACTTTCAAACTACAATAAAATATCTAGTTGTCGGTCCTTGATGATGTTAGAGTATAAAATTAAAACAATACATCCTCATCACAACTTAGAAATTTTGATGAAGTGTCAGAGTTCTTTAACATGGTATTAGTGTTAGTTCTCTTGTTTTGATGATGATTTACAAACACCATTATTGGTGCTAATTGCTTGATTGAGTGATGTGTTAGTTCTCTTGTTTTGATGATGATTTACAAACACCATTATTGGTGCTAATTGCTTGATTGAGTGATATTGTGTAGATTGTAATGATGATTTACAAACACCATTATTGGTGCTAATTGCTTGATTGAGTGATATTGTGTAGATTGTATTTTTCCAAGCAAGATAGTGCCAAAGATTGGAGGATTGGACGGAATATGAGCTACAACGATGATATCCAAGGAGGTGGAGGCAAGTTGATGAAGAAAAGCTTTCAAGAACAACATATACAAAAGAAGCTTCATCAACATTTGAGCAAATATCCAGACCAAATGAATTGTATTCATATGTGTGAGATATTTATATTTTTATTTTTCTCTAGAGCTTAATGTAGACAAATAATTAAGTAGATAACATTTAAAGCGATTGGGGTTCACACATACAGAAACTTATAAAAACAAGTTTTTCACCATTTTTGAAAAATGAGTAGTTTTTATAATTAGGAAATGATTTCTTGAAAATTCCTCTTCTAACATGTTTATATTTATGTTTATAAGAATTTTCCAAAGTTTTACATTTTTTGGATTTATTTACTATTTTAAATGCACTTCAAAACTCATTTTCATAACTGAACAGTGTTTGTGCACGTTTATCAGTCGATTGATGCTTGTTATCAGTCGATCGATGAAACGTGCTGGAAAGAGCAGAAGTTTCTGCTCAGTCGACTGATGAACCATCAGTTGACTGGAACATATTATCAGTCGACTTATGAGTTCATCAATCAATCGATAACAGATGAGAAGCCTATAACGGTCGGCTCATCAGTCGACTGATGGTACTGTTAAAGGCAAGTTTTGGTTTGAGCTGAAAATCTAAAATTTGGTGATTTGTTTAGGATTTGGGCTATTGTTTGGAGCTTCTATATATACCCCTTGACCCTCTTCACTTCAGCAACATAGCAAGCAAAGAAAAATCTCTAAGTTTTATTTCTAAGGTGTTCTTGAGCTCAAACTTTCAAATCTCCATTCTCAACTGTTTCTAAGTTTTCGGTTACTCAATTCCACATCTCACAAACCCCTAAGCTTGATTTGTTTATCTCTTGATCCTTGTTATAGGATTGTTGTGAGAGATTTTTTTTTTTATTTCATCTTATGATTGTGTGGTGAGATTGATCTCGAGGAGATCGTTGTGAGGGTTGTAAGATCTCGTGGGGAGATTGTTGTGAAGAAGTTCCGGCTTCCAAACCGGGTGTGATAGTGAAGTTACCATCGGGAGAGGTGGTTAGGGATGTAGGTCAGAGGACCGAACCTCGTAAACATTTCGTCGTATCATCTTGAATAACTATTCTCTAACATTCCTCCTTATTTATTGCCATAGCATTTAATTTGTGTCTTGTGTTGCATTAAATTTTATTTATTGTATATTTATTAATTTATTAACCTATTCACCCTACTCTAGGGTAATTTTATTTGGTATCAAAGTAAGGTCTCTACATATTTATTAGGTCTAACCACCTAAGAGCAAAGATTCAACAATGAATGTGCATATGCTTCTAGGTTAATCAACCACTAGACCCCCATTGTTCACCGGCAATAATTTTGCATATTGGAAAGCTAGGATGAGAATTTACTTATGATGCATTGATCATGACATCCTAGAGATAATAGAAAAGAAATATGTTGAGAAGTCTAGTAGCGAAATGACCGAAAAAGAAAGGCAATTGGCTAATCTAAATGTTAAAGCCATGAACGACTTGATTTGTGAACTCATTCTATAATAGAGTCTCCACGTGTGCAACCGCACACGAAATTTGGGAGAAACTATGTATCACTCATGAAGGAACTCCTCAAGTCAAGGAGTCCAAAATTAGTAGCCTCGTGTATGAATATGAGTTATTTAAAATGCTTCGAAATGAGTCAATTGATGTCATGTTTTGTCGATTTACTAACATTGTTAATGAATTACATGACCTTGACAAGGTGTTGGAGAATCAATAGAAGAACTACAAAATTCTTCGCTCTCTAACGCCTGCATAAGAGCCCAAACCTACGGATATTGAGGAAGCCAATGATCTTACGACGCTACACT